GCCGACTTCTAAACCACGCGGTATCTATATGCATCTCGCCGACTTCTAAACCACGCGATATCAACATGCACTCGGCCGACTCGCAATAGGGGAATTTGAAGAAGTAAGAATTTGAATTGATAATTTTTGATAAATTTGGACCACGAAAGTCCTTTACTAAATTACAATGCTGCTGTTACATGAATTAAATATGTGAATACATAAATAAACTCAAAAAAGGAATAGCTGCCAAATTTCTCACGTATTATCAAGGTAGGGAAACTACAGAACGGGGGGTGAATAACACCACTAACCATACAACATATAGACTGGTCATTTCATACGACGCATTTGGACACAAAAAAACGGACCGCGGAAGGTCCACCGTTCTCACAGCAGCAGGTCCATGCACTTCGTGTGCGTTCGGGTTTTTTACTCTCTCATTCTTATTCTCATTTTTATGCTCGCGCACTCATTGCACGAGTTCAGTCGTTCAGTCGCAGAGAGGCGCTTTTTGAAGAAGGCTGCCCTGCGCTTGAATTCGTCTTTGTATGTATGCGTGATCATGCATTCTCATTCTCATACGACTGCGATATGCCCTGTTCCCATCTCTGCGTTCGGATCTTTTAATCCGCCTGCCACTTTCCTCATGCTATCAGAGCGATTGCAGGACAACCCTCGGTTATGGCAATATTTTCGAAGTCAAAAAACACCGTATTTCGCGACGTGTTTTTGTTTGATTTGAATAATGACGTGTTTTTGTTTGATTTGAATAATGAAAAATTCTTATTAACGCTTTTTTAAGTAAAATCGAAATACAAGCCATGATTTTATAGACAAAATAAATTTTTTATTAACAGAGGTCAGAACCGTGTTTTCGGTTTTTTCAATCTCCACGTATTATTTAAGTAAAAAAATGTTAAGATATCTTACATTACTTCAAACTTTCCAACAGCTATATGTTAATTAAAAGAGAGTTCAATTACATTAAATACTTATTAAAATAGTCAACAAATTCACAATGTAAAAAGTTAAATGAAAAACATTTTCAAAATAACTAAAATTAAAAAAAAAAATTATTAAAATAAAAACATTTATTACTCAATCATAACATTTTTAATAAAGTTATTGGAGGTACGATCGTCACGTTAATTTGAACTCGTCAAAAGGTGTCTTGTTTAATATAACTTTACATAATAACAAAGTGGAAGCAAACTTCGGCAAGCCGAAGCTCATATACCCTTGCAGCTATTGCAATAATTAAATATTTTTTAAAACATTAAAATTATGATTTACTTCCGTATATGTCTAAAAACATTGAAGCTATGATGATTTGCAGCTTAATTATTATATAGTTATTTTATATATTTTATTATTTCTATGGGAGCTATATGATATACTCGTCCGATTTTGATGAAATTTAAACCGTAATTCTGAAATATTTAACCATTACTATATGTCGAAGAACTAATAGAAAAATTTAAAAACAGCAAAGTTATAATTTTTTTGTATTTTTTTTTCCGATCGTTCCTATGGGAGCTATATGATATAGTCGTCCGATTTTGATGAATTCTGAAATATTTAACCATTACTATATGTCGAAAAACTAATAGAAAAATTTAAAAACAGCAAAGTTATAATTTTTTTGTATTTTGTTTCCGATTGTTCCTATGGGAGCTATATGATATAGTCGTCCGATTTTGATGAAATTTAAGCCGTAATTCTGAAATATTTAACCATTACTATATGTCGAAGAACTAAAAAAACTAATTAAAAAACAGCTAAGTTATAATTTTTTTTTATTTATTTTTTCGATTGTTCCTATGGGAGCTATATGCTATTGTCGTCCGATCCGGCTCGTTCCGACTTATATACTATCTGCAATAGAAAGAAAACTTTTGGGAAAGTTTCATGCAGATAGCTTTAAAACTGAGAGACTAGTTTGCGAAGAAACGGACGGACAGACGGACATGGCTAGATCGACTCGCCTAGTGATGCTGATCAAGAATATATATACTTTATAGGGTCGGAGATGTCTCCTTCACTGCGTTGCAAACTTCTGACTGAAATTATAATACCCTCTGCAAGGGTATAATGAGAACAGAAGCCAAATTTTCTATATGCATGTAGTCTAGGGATTATATAAAACTATTACATAACCAAAAAAAAAAAAAAAAAAAACACAAAAAATTCTTAAGAAACAACCAAGTTTATCAATTTTACCCGATAGTATGCCAGTACAGTCGTTCGATAAAATATTACAACTGATTTTGATCAAATCACAATGTATATGTTTATCTACTATAAAAATATATTTTAGGGCTAAACCAGCGATTAATACTAAGATTAAAAAATAAACTGCGAAATCTAACACTTTGACCTGGTAGTTCCTATGACAGCTATGGGATATGGACGTGTGATCTCCGTCGTTTTTAAATTTAATCTACTTACTCATAAGAAATATACGATTGCGAAAGTTTAAATTCGATAGCTTTTAGGCTGAGCCCGCAAACGGTATAAAACGGACGGACATGGCTATATCAACTCTTTCAGTCCTGTTTATCAAGAATTTATGCATTGTATAGGGTTAGAAATGTCGCTTTCACTGCGATACAAACATCTGAAAAATGTATTAATATCCTCCAAAACTAAAAAAAAATAACGGTTCTAAATGTTATTTTCCAAGAAATCGATCTTGTCGCTAACTTTTACCATTTATTTGTAAGCAGGTTCCCAAATTATATTGATCCTGAAAATTTATTGGTTTTACTGAACGTCGCCTTAAATTCGGAGAGGGATTCGCAGAATATGGCAGTCGAATTGATACATCGCTCATTACCAAGTGGAAAGTTAAAGACTTGGAGCATTGGCACACCAGGCCCAAATCAGCAATGATTTGCTGCGCTGGGTATACATTACCAACGTAAAAAGTCGCAATGAGCCAAAACAACAGCTGCAGGCTCACACATATAAGAAGCGTTATAGGGAAGGCGATGAATATTTAACAGACCCAGAGCGGAAGAAATCAAAGTTTCCAGTGAAATGTCACCATTGGGGAAAGATTGACCACAAAATGGCCGAATGCCGTAGCCGACTGGAAAGGGGACAGAACGCAAGAGGAAATAATCAGAACGGGAGCAGTCATTCTGGAGTGAAAGATTGGTTTTTTAAGTGCCACGAAGGAGAAGATCTTCGAGAAGGGTGTGGACAGTTGCACTGTGGCTCCTCCAAATTCCATTTTGCTTCGACTCCGGGGAGATGAATGTTCATCGGTCAAAGAAAGTGTCGCAGAAAACGACTTAACAATATTGTAAAATCTAATGGCATATGTAACGACTCCATCTGTAGTACATCTTTCTACCATAAATATTGAACAGTATTGCTTAGAGAATTTATTGCACGTTGTAATGGATAAATACCTAAAATTCGATGTTTTTATTGGCCGCGAAATCTTAAGCCAAGGCTTTAGTGTAGCAATAGACGCTGAAAATAATTATGAAAACCTTGTAAATTCCTAGTAACTCTCAAAAGATGGCCTTAAAAACATTTTGAAACGGTATTCTGATTGGCTTATAGAGGGAATACCACAGACTCGTGTAACTTCAGGGCATTGGGAAACAAAAAGCAGTACAGCGACGGAGCAGTAGAGCGAAGATGAAAAAGGGAATGTACGTTACAACATTTAACATTGTTAACATTATTCGTGCTCGTTAAAAAGAAAAATGGTAATGATCGTCTTTGTGTGGATTATCGTGCTTTAAATGAGAACACTGTTGTACACAAGACCCCATTGCCTCTTATTTCTGAACAGATTGCAGGCCTTCGTGGGGCAAGCTATTTCTCATGCCCCGATATGGCTAGCGATCAATAGGAGTTTTTGTCTATGCCTTTTGGTTTAAAAATCGCTGTGTCGCATACACTTAAACCATAGTGTACATCGATGTCGATTTGATTGTGGCCGAAACTGAGGAGCAAGTTTGGATTTTCATTTAAACTATGATCGAATATCTGGGGTTTAAAGTCAGCAATGGACAAATTAGCCTTAACCTCGCAAAATTCAAGCGCTTACAGAATTGCCATTGTATTCGCTTACTTCAAAAAAAAACTCCGATTTCGTCTGGCTGTTAGAACATGAAAGAATTCGTTCGAAAATAATATCTGTTTTAACCCAAGAACCGGGGCTAACCATATTTAGCCCTCAACATTTGATAGAATTGCGCACAGATGCCAGCTCAATTGGGTATGGGGCAATATTGCTTCATAGAATGGACAAAATGCTTGGCCTAGAACAGGGCAGTTGTACTCTCGCTTTATATAGGTAATATACGCAGCGAAAGAAAGAAAAAAAAATCTTAAAATTTATTAGGCAGAGCTGTGCTTAAAAAGCATTTGAATGCATATATTTTTTTTTTTTGGTAATATTTAAGATCATGTTGCATTTTCAGTTGAAGCCGTCTGGAAAATACTGAAACGAGCCGATACGTCAGCAGGTCCCGCTATCGATAAGATTTGGTGGTGACACCGACTATTGATAGCGGGAGAGGATCTAGCTATTTAAATTTAGCCCGGTTCGCTCGTTAACTGGGTTAGATGGCCTTGAATACGTTCGCTGACCCATCTTGAGAGAGCGGGAGGGAAAATGGCGAGCGACTTTGGTGTAGGTCAGGGTTTTGCTTTAGTTGCTGCAAGAAGTAGTAGGAGAACGGTCGGAAAAAAACCCAAAAATTTAAATTCGTGATTAGTGTTTGAATAACTCAAAGTGAGTGTTTATTTATTAGTCCGGAACTTGTAAATTACAGTGTTTTTTTTTTTATATTGAAGCCGCCGGGGACCCTAACTAAAGGGCCCCGGAAATTTAAACATTTGGGAGTGAAATCTTACCAGGCGGACCTAACCTGGTCGTCGACCACCTGCCGCAGCAGCATCAGCAGCAGCAACATCAGCCGCAGCAGCATCAGCAGCAGCAACATCAGCAGCAGCAACATCAGCCGCAGCAGCATAAGCCGCAGCAGCATTAGCCGCCGCAGCGTCAGCCGCAGCAGCAGCGATCAGTAGCAACAGCAGCAGCCTCAAGCGCCAGCAGCTACAGCGACTGCCGCCAAGACGGCCAGATACGGAGATTCCCTCGGTGAGTCCGTTCCGGGAACGAATGCCCGCGCTGGCCACGTGGTCATCTCCGAGTCCACCGACGCACTGCTTCCGGCCACGCTACGCTATCCTCCGGACCAATCGGCTCCGTGCGGAGTCGCGCTGGCCTTCGCCATCAGCGTTTTTTCCTGCTGCAGTTTCAACACATGCGACGTTGAACTCTGAAAAAAATTAGTTTTAGTTGTTGTTTTTGTGATATTATGCAGTCAAGATTGTAAAGTACTTACTGTGAAATCTGATCTAAATTTAGAGGCTCAAGCCCGAACCCTGGCCGCGCGTCCAACTATATCTAAATTGGGTCGCGAAATTTAATAACTTGTGGGATTTGTTTAGCGTACTTACCTTGTCAGCACGTCCCTTCTTTTCCCTTGGAGCTCCTCAGGATTAGGCGACCCGGTTGGCAAACGCCTCCAATTTAGTGCCGAGTGGCGAGTTTGCCTGACACTTTGAACTCTAAGCGTCTAAAAATTTCCCTTTCAGTTGTTGCCGCTTTGACCGCTTCTCATCTGGGCGACGGTCTGAGATCGGCCTTGAGAGTTTCTAACGAAAGGAATAGATTATCAGTAGGAATCAATAATGAATGTATTTACTTATTAATCTCACCAAGAATTAAATGTAAACAAGCCACCGAAATGGTTGTGTGAGTTACCTTGGGCGGGGAGATGAGCCGATCCTAATCCACCAGGAATAGACTCCGGTCTGCCGGAGATGGGGTGTGCCTCCCACATCTCTCTTGGGGCACCCAAGGTTGGGTGGGTGCGTCGTGGCAAGGACATCGAAGCCACCAATTTCGTCGAATTGTCTTAGTTGCTTAATGTAAACATAGTTTTGTTTTGTTTTGATTTGTGCTAGAGATGGTAAATCGACGTGAGACGTCCGATGAGTCGGAATCGATTGTTCGGACTGCAGGGCATAGGGGGTACTCCGCCCTGGGACTCCGTGGCTAGCCGGCGCTGCCCTCCGGGAAAGATGCAGTTCCGTAACAATATGGCGCCCAATTTTAACAAATAAAATATGTGATAGCCGAGTCGACGGCGTCTCGCATATTTATTATCTCCAGCCAGCCCACGAACGGTGGCTTGCATGACACACATGCAATTGCACCGGGATGCGGACTGGTGGAGAAAAGTTGTTTAAATTTTGTAGGAAGAAAGGGAGGCGTGTCCACTAGAAGTAGGACAATTGCTCCCGAAGCACGGTTCACAGGGATTAGCTGTGATTTGGCGGTGACATCCTCTTCGAAGAAAATCGAAGGATTCGCATCCCAGGTCGTCCGTGCAATAAGCACGAAAGGTTAAACCAAAAACGGTGATTAAACTGTGATATAGGTATTAGGGACATATTTTTTTTGTTAACGTAATTTTAATGAATGTCTTGTTTTGGGGTTACAGTGTAGTTGTTTTTTTTTTTGTGCAGATCCTTGGGTTTTCTGGGTATTGGCGTTTTCATATCATATCGGTTTAAAACTTAAATGTGTGGTCGTGACCCGTGACTTCGTCACGCGCTGCTCGGCCACCGCGACTTGAATGAAAAACGCAAAGTCCAAAGGGAAATCCTATGCGATCCTGCAAACAGCCGAAGTCCTTAACTGGCGACTTTCAGCACAGCTGAAAGTTAGTCCAGTTGACGAGCGGTTTGTTTAGTGAGAATTCGGACGAAATTGTAGACGCAAGACGACTGGCGCGGAGTCTACCGGCTGGCGATCGGCTCCATCTCCCCTTATTGAGGCTGGAAAAAAAAAAAAATAAAAATAAAAATAGAGAAAGAAATTTAGTCGAGGGACTTGTTTTTTTGATAAGAGCTAATATTTGGTGTGAATTTGTTTAGCCTTAGGTATTTGTGGGTCTTTAATATATTTTCTTATTTATTTCTTATGGGTTATGGTTTATTGTTTCTATTTATTTATTATTATTATTTATTGGTAATATAGGTATTCGTATTATTTAGGTGCATATTATTTAGTGGTGTTTATTTATTGTTTATTATTATTTACTAGCATTCAGTATAATTTAATTATTTATACATAATTTGGGCTTTTGGTGGCCACGTTGAATTCGGGGTTTCAGAAGTCGTGTTAGGGGTTACCAAAATTCAGGATGTCAAAGCGACAAGGCAGCAAGCATGATCACCTGCTTCGGTCGAAAGGTTTTCCAGGCGAGGACGACGAAAAGATGTGGTCCACGGATGTGGAGGGCGCTACCGAGGCTGGCTTGCCGCGCATATCGGAAGGGTTGCCCAGGACTCCGCTTGCCCGTTTGCGCCAGGGACTGCAACAAGAGCAAAAAGGACCACAGGACACAGAGCTGCAGCAGGACCTAAGGCAGCAGCAGATCCTGGAGGGAATTGGTTCCGCAGCGGATGAGTTATTGCAGCTGGACGATAAGGACGCAAGACTCCACGATCCCTTTGTGGATTCCGCGGCAAGGTCGGCCGTTAATGTGGCTTTGGCACAGGCGGCGGAGACCCATCGGAAGGCCCAAGAAGGCGGGATCAATCAGGCACTGAGGGACGAGATCCGAAGTGGCTTCCTGGAGATGATGAAGCTGATGAACGAGGTGTTAAGGCCTGCTGCTCAGCGGCCTCAGCTTCCCCTGGAGAGCATGCCTGATGAGCGAAGGCGTCCGGATTCAAGGATCAACGCGGGAATCCCTGGTCAAGCCCCGCAAGGTGCGGTGCCGAAGAACACACAGGTCACCGGCAGGGACGGTTCCAGGCTACCTCCGCCGAGGGTGCCACCCAAACCGACGAGGAGGCCGCTGGATTTCCAGGAGTTGGAAAGTAGCAGTCCCGGGTATCCTCCGGATCATTTCAGGTCGCGCCGAGACGATGGCCCGGCCCGCAGCTGGTGCATGGAGGACCGCAGGGCCTCAGAGTTCCGGGAGGAGCCGCGTCTGTATGCCAATGTGGGGCCGGCAGCCGCCAACCAGCAATGGCGAATTGAGCGGTGGGGCGTATCCTTCGACGGGGAGGATGAGCGAAACTCGGTGGAAGATTTTCTCTTCCGGTTGGAGTTCCTGCAGCGGCAGTGCCAATGCCCGTGGCAAGAGGTGCTCCGAAACTTCCACCTGCTGCTCACTGGGCGGGCTCGGGAGTGGTACTGGGTGCACGTGCGTCACTGCAGGGTGGACAGGTGGTCCCAGCTTCGAGCCTCGCTGATGGATAGGTTCCGATGCCATCAGACGGAGCACGATCGGATGCACCAACTTCTGCAGAGGAGCAGCAGCCCGGAGAAGGAGTTGGCGATTATATCCATGCGATGCAGCAGTTGGCGGCTCGACTGAAAAGGCCACTGTCAGAGCGGCAGCTGGTGAAGATTATTAAAAAGGGATTGAGGGAGAGCATCGCAAGGTTTGTCTACGCGATGGACGTGCTCACTGTGGATGAACTGCGGGAAGAGTGCTGCGAGGTGGAGCGTAGTTTTGGACGACGTGGACGGACCACGTACACGCAGCCGATGCGGTATCCTCTGGCGGAAAAGGCCAAGGTTAGCGAGGCGATTGGCCCAGATCCTGGTGAGGATCCTCCGTGGCAAGAGGTGGACGAAGTGCGGGCGAAGCCTAAAAATCCGTTCCGAGCCGGCTGCTGGAATTGCGGAGCCGTGGATCACGGGTTCCGTGACTGCGCAGCAACAGAACGCAGACTGTTCTGCTACCGATGTGGGAAGCCCGACACCGTGTCTCCCAAATGTCCGGATTGTGCGGAAAACGGTCGGCTGGGCGATCCGAGGGCGGAGAGGATGCGTCCAAACAGGAGTTCCGCAGAGAAGAAGAGCTGGTAGGGTTAGATAAATGTTTACCTTCTAAAAATAGTAATAAGTTTGCATTACGATACTTACCTTATGCGGAGAGGATGCGGCGGTATCTAGAGACCAGGAACAGGATCTTCTCAGAGCACCAGTTAGGCGGGATGCGTGTGGTGTCTCGCAAGGTGCAAAAGGCCAGGGAGCGATTTCGCAAACGTCGGAACTGCCGACGCGAAGCAGTGGCCGCCGTGAGGCGCAGTTTATCGCGAGATCCCAGACCGTTCGCCGCAGTCCGAGTTCTGACCAAGCAACTGACGGGGTTGTTGGACACTGGAGCGAGTGTGAGTCTGCTTGGAAAAGGTGGCAGAGAGCTGGTCGAGGCCTTGGATGTGCCCGTCCAGAAGTACTTATCCACTGTAATGTTGGTTGTATGTATATTTATAAACACAAGAAAAAGAGTGCACTGTAATGTTATAATTTATATTGGGCTTTATTATTCCGTCCGTTTGGATCGGGACTCATTTTTAGAATGCTCACTTAAGACTATTGTTGGCTTAGCTTACAATTCATATAGCTGCACAAGCAGCGCCGCGGCCAACGCTTATGTATCTCAATATATATGTTAATGTATACGTAAGTGTATTTAGGCGGCGCAAGCAGCGGCCGCGCATGAGAGGGAGAGTGTTATGCTCACATGGTAACCGAATGGTCGGCCGCGCATGCAGACATGCCGACTCAGCATTTAGGATGTGCATAACATTGTTGTGTGGGTCGAATTGCTTTGCACTTGAAGTGCTGGGAATATTCGGACATAAACAAATGCTACAATGTTATAGTGATATAAGCGGTACAGTGTGTACCCAATATATGAGCATACTACATCTCCCTCCTTTTGAAAAATAACGTAATCTATGGAGTTATTTTGTTAGTTATTGTGTTAGGTATATATATATATGTTTATAAAAATTAGCAAATTAATAAAATTCTTTTTTTTTTGTTATTATTATTATTATTTTTTTTTTTTTTGTTTAATATAGTAAATATTGAAAAACTTAGTGAAGTTGAAACTTTGAAAATTTATGCGACTATTTCTTATTATTTATTATAAAATGTATTGTATATTTGTATTCCTATATTTTCATTATAGTAAGGTAAAAGAAAATTTTTGTTATTTTATTTCCTTCTTTTTTTTTTTTTTTTTCTTATGAATGGCCATCCTACAAAATCTATTCTATAAAAATTTTTAATCTATCTTTATGAACTGTCTGTGTTTTATTTTTCGCATTTAAAATAGTTATATTATTATTGGATTCTATCTTCTTTACTATATATGGTCCTGAATATTTAAAGTCTAGCTTATGGCCAGTTTCATTTTTTAATAAAACCTGGTCTCCTATTTTTAATTCAAAGTCTAAACTATTTTTGTCGTATCTATCTTTTTGTTTTTGCTTATTAGTTTCTAGCATTATTCTGGCTCTTTTATATGCCTGTTCTAATCTAAATTTAGATTCCTTAGCATAATCTTCTATATTATATAATGGTTCTATTCTATCTATGCTATTGAAAAGTTTTGATAAGTTTGGAGTTTTCCCAAAAACTAGTTCATATGGACAATAATTATGTGCCATAGAGGGTGTTGTGTTAAAGCAGTATACGAAGTATTGTAGCCATACATCCCAATCTGTTTTATCAACTGAGATGTATGAGCGTATGAACTCGTTAAGTGTTCTGTGGCTTCGCTCCACTGTTCCGACAGTCTGGTGATGGTGTGCAGTAGAATTTTTAATCAGAATAAAATCTTCGAATATAGCTTTTGCTATTGTTTTTGCACTTTTATTTTGAATTGGTATTGCTACAAGGTATTTTGTTAAATCGCAGATTAAAGTAACTGCGTATTCATTCCCTTGTTCAGACTTAGGTAGTGGACCGATCGTGTCCACGATTACCCTGTCAAAAGCTGTTTGCGGTGTTTCCGTAATTGTTAATGGGGTCTTCGTATGCGTGATTATTTTCGCTTTTTGACATTTTAGACATTTTCGTACGTACTCTGTAATATATCGAGTCATTCCTTTCCAAAAGTAACGTCTTTTGACCTTGGCCAAGGTTTTAGAAATGCCAGTATGACCTCCTTGAATTGGTTCATCATGGTATGTAGACATAATTGCTTCTTTTTCTTTTTCAGAATTTATTAGGGTCACCGGGTTGAGTAGCGCTACTCTCAATGATTTTAATGTTTTATTGCCCATTTTCTTAAAATTATCTATTGAAACGTATTCAAAGATATTTTCCCACGGTGCCACTTTGAGTTGGCTGATTTGATGTATACCGGCTTGCTTCTCAAGCCTTTGGAAAAACTGACCTAAGTCAAAGGCTCCATTGGTATATAAATCGCTAACATCATATCTTGCAGTAACTTTTTTTCCATGTTTTAATA